GCTTATGGCTTTGAGTTGATGTTTTTCTAGTCCTATAAAGCTAATTGCACATTTTTAGACTTGAGAGCTTATTCAACGTCTTAATTGCGATTAAGATCCGACTAAAGAGCTTGTTTTAGCCGGTGTTTCTTAAGGAAAAACATAGGTCGTTAGAGCTTATTAACGACTATWATCAACTTGGTTTTATTCATTACGTTTACGTTATTGGAATCGATGATTAGTACCACATTCTTAATCAAAAGTAACTAATGTTGGGTTTTTATTTATTTGTTTTAAGTTGATTTTAATTATATGCTTAGCTTAATTAATCAAATCCAAACCCACCCACCCCCCTTCGTATTTACTTTTATTCAGTCAACTTGTACTTGATTAGTTTGGCTACAATAAGTTGAAACCGAGTCTCTGTGGAATCGAACCGACTTACCGCTATTACAATTTTGGTTGTAATTTGCCGTAGTTGGAACTTATTATTTGTCGGACTCGGCATCCGTCAATTGTGCGTAAGTACAACTTATTAAGCTACATGTTTGAATTCGTGTAACTAATTGTAGATAAATATAATCAAATACAAAATAAAATTCTTATTTCAAATATAAAATCTAAAATATAATAAGGATAATTATTGAATTCTTACAGAATATTTAGTTATTATCTTTATAGAAATTATATTATTAAAACAAAAATAAATTATTTCGTCATTAAATGTAAATTAAATTATAATAAAAAATTGAATCAAATAAATCACACAAAAAATGAGAACTTTTACATTTTTTTAATTTTTATGATATATTCAAATTTATATTTTATTAAGAAAAACAATATTGATTGTTCAAAACCACATAAATTTGTATTATAGCATCGATAGTGACCAAAAAAATAACATGAAACATTGAAACGGAGATATATCTCGCTACATTGCGCAAGTATCCTTCTAGTATACTATAGTTAGTATAGATAAAAAGTGCAAAATGAAAATTTAAGATATTAAAAATAAGTTTTAAGAAGAATCCATTATGTATTTATGTTATTTAATAATATGATTAAATCCAAAAATGTTCAATATTTGACTCATTCTGAAGGTATTGATGAAATGATTATAATGATATAATTTATAAAAAAATATGTATTTTTTTAATGTATTCTAGTTGATACATAATTATTTATGTCAATACAATATGTTAATAGAAAGTTTTATGAAGTTAGCTTGTATCTTATATTGTATTTTGGGCTTGGTCTTTGGTTTTATCCTTGTAATGGACTGACACACACGCACGCACGCACGCACGCGCATGCGCGCACGCACACGTACATGCGCGCGCGCACACACACACACACGCACACGCACACGCACACGTACATGCGCGCGCACACACACACATGTATATGTTGTCTTGGGTCCTAGAATCACTTGAGAGATTTTAATCAATTCATTCCCCTAAATGTTGATTATTTAAAAATCCAATATGAGGATGACTAATGTGATTTCTCCACTCTATGTTCTTCAATCTTATCAATTATAGAGTTTTTACCTTGAATATGTTGGTGTATGGTTCCTACAAAATAACCATTTATTCATATTATATCAATCATAATACCATCCAAAAAAATATACTAAAGATATCGTCTAAAAAGCATGTCTTACCATGTAAAAAAGTTGAAATAGATAGAAGATAGGCACGTTGGATGAGTATTTGGTGGATATCACGCCCAAATATAGGTAAGACATCTTAACTCATATGGGTGCTTCCTTGCACAATCTAGGAATTCATTGAAACTTCTTCGAGATCCTTGCAAAGAAAAGGCGTATGCTCAGCATAATACAACTTCACAATCTATCTGAAAGATCTTGTATATAAGAGCCAAGGTACTTGAAGTGAGATGCTACATGCTAATAGGTGTAATATTGTACTTGGTGAGATTATTTGCACAAGACACATGTATTACTGTAAATTCAATCAAGCATGAGCATGATGAAGTAGAAAAAGATAACAATCCCATTAACAAATATAATTTTGCCTTTGATATTCATTGTCACAACCAAAGATAAGGGTCACTTGGCTTAGATAGAAAGGTTGGGAATATCATCAAAATACTACTTTCTTCAACTAAGCTTCAAGGTTTTATCATGAATCAAGATTCTAAGCTTGTCACTTTTTGTCCTTTGAAAGTCATGAAGCTGTCTTGTTAGATGATGCCACGATGATTGGTTGTTGAAGTTGCCATCGTAGTGGTGAAGGGAGTTGTTCTACTGTATGAAACTTGTCTAAAAATAACATAAAAAGGATCAATCTATAGCATCCACCAATTCCATCATGAACCTTGCTTCCATTAAGGCACATGCCTTAACCCAGAAAGCAAGAACCTTCCACCTCCCCTCCATAATTAAAAAAAAATGTTAGAAAGGATGGTGGTTTATGGAATCGAGTAATCAAAGGTATAGGTTTATTATTTTGGTTCCTTGTCAACTTTGGTTTTTGTGGTGTGTTTCAACTGATTAGTCTTAAGATTCAAATGTGGCAGAAGTTCCCTTGACTTGCTAACTGATAAACTTGTACTCCCTTTCGCTCCCTTGTAACATTCCTACATTCCATGTGATGACAATCACATGGTATTGTTGGTCTCTGAAAGCTGTTCGCAGGTGGTTACTTCACAAATGAAGTATGCCCTTAACAGAAGTGGTCAACAGTATGGATTTCACTATGGATCAAGTACCATCATAATCTATGTCTTCATATCTTTTGTATCAATAACTGATCACACCAGAGATAAAAACTTCATCAATTTGTAGGACACGAAGAACATTACCAGTGTAAACTTAAAAATCCATATATTTTAAGTCGAATCTTAACCTATTTACATCTAAAGTAGAAGTGTGACTTTTTTTTATAACTAATGGAACACTATATTCTCGTATATATGATGAACCAAATTCAATCAAAAGCAATGATAAACACATGTATGAACTTATTTCTATATCAAATCCCCAGTATTTAATGATGATTTAATAGTTAGGTGGTGATTGGGATTGTTTACTTGAAACAACTTATGTTTTTTTCTACAAAAGTCTTTATCAATTTATTATAAGTTAAAATGGTTTAATTTATTCAAAAACTTCTTATTACCGGTTTATTCAAACACTAAAAAGTGCTTATTACCGGTGTCACACCGGAATAAGACAATAAGTTGTTTTTATAAGCAATCTCAAACACCCCCTTAATCATGGTTTTTGTCTTTTTCGATTGTTCTTTATAGGTAAGTGCCAAAAGGACGGCTTTTTCAGTTTTTTGTTAGGTAAGAGGCCTTAAGTTGCATAAATATGTGAATCTCTCCCACTTCCAAACCGAGAACATCCCCACTCTCTCTCATCATCAATGGCGGACTCGCAACCACTCCAATCCACCCTCGTCACTGATAACCACCTCCCTCTCTCAATCATCCATCATAACCACATATTCACTCTTTCCTTCTACCCCTGGATTAAGGAGATCGGCAACTCATTCGACCCTTCGGATCCTTTATATCTGATCCATCGACCATCTGCTCGGGTCGTAATCGTCGTAGGTCATAGCCCGCTCAAATCCGAGCACTTAGATCTGTATCCTTCCGTGGAAGTCGTTGTTGGAACATCGGCAGGTGTGGACCATATTGATTTAGCAGAGTGTCGTCGTCGTAATATTCATGTTACAGGCGCCGGTGACGCCTTCTCGGAAGACGTTGCGGATTATGCCGTAGCGTTATTGTTGGACGTTCTCCGACATGTTTCCGCCGCCGATAGGTATGTTCGGAGCGGGTTGTGGCCCGTCGTCGGCGATTATCCTCTTGGAAACAAGGTCTATCTCTTAATCTCTTATCCAATCCGCCATCATCAAATTTATCGACTTCATATAATGACTTTTCTTCTAAGAGCAGTTCACCACTTTCCCGCTTCATTTATTTTATAATTATTATTTCATGTTTCAAATAATTTTAATATATCTATCATAGTTTTTATATTTTTTCATTTTTATATATCTATACTATATTATAAAGCATTTGGCTAAAACTCTTAAAAACTCTTAAACTCTTAAACCCGTTCATCTCTAAACAATTTCATCCCTATCCGATTTCATCCCATAACTGAATTCGTGTAACTAACTGCAGATAAACACAATCAAATACAGGATAAACATCTTATTTTAAATATAAAAAATCTAAATTATAATTAAGATAATCATTGAGTTCTAACAAAATACTTAATTATTATCTTCATAAAATGTTATATTATTAAACCAAAAATAAATTATTTTATTATTAAACTTAAATTAAATTAAAAAAATAATTTATACTATATTATAAAACATTTGACAAAAACTCTTAAAAACTACTTTTTATATGTAAAGTACTGTTTATTAATGCATATTACTTAA